AATCCAAATGTCAGATAATTTTTTTATCTTTTAGGAAAGAAAATACATGTATATTAGGGCCGTTTTATAATTCCCTTTGCAATTTGGTACAACAACGCACCTATAAGGCATTGTTTTTGTTTTAAATTAATTCAATATCTAAAAGAAAGTATTAATAAACAATTTAAAAATGCCGCCGTAAAAAATCTGATACAAAAAAAAAACGACACGCTTCTTGAAAGTCGGACTCAATATGATGACGTCACATTTCTCCTTAACCCAATCAAACAGGCCTTCTATATCGGTGGTCACGGCTCTGCCCTCTTGGCAACTCTGATCATCATGTAGTGTCTGCCAACATCTCCTTCTACTCCACCCCAGTAAAGAATCTCCTAGCAACAGAACATCTATCTATTCTCACATAGCTGACTAGGACTCGTTCCGTGATTTCTTTCGCGATGTAGCCTGGAATGTGGTCTTTAATCTCCCCGTTTAAGAATGCGCTTCCGAGGTCTCCTCTTGGAATCGAGCCCTTAATCCCTGCAAGGAAATATAAGATTAAATCGGGCTTCTCCTTGCTTCTCTGCGGCTTGCTCAGCTGCCATTACTCGTAGGAATCACTTCTTCCGCCCGTACCGTAGTGACATGTCAGATTGCAACAGACGACTCTTTGTCTCAGCCCGTAATGAGTGCAAGCGTATCTTCAATGAAGCAGTCACTATTTGCTGATAGAATGAAACAACGTATTGCATACCTCAAATTCGGTTCCAAAGATTATTCGCGTCTCTGCAAGACCGTACTAAACAAAAGCAAACTCACAATACCTTCTTTATCCAACCAATTTGAGGTCCTGACTTCCTCAGCTTATAAGGCCGACGACTTTGCTCGGAAATTCTCATCCAATTCAACTGTTCCAATGTACTCACACCCGATTTCCCTCTAGAATTGAGTCTCTATTCAGCGATTTGCATATGTCACCATTGTATTAGGCATCATCTCTAAATTAGACTCCCATAATGATTGCGGTGGATACGGTAGAAACATTCTCGAAGATATCTATATTAAAAAATTGAAACCGAAACTTAATAAATTTAATTACGAATACTCCATAAATGTTTTAAATTGTCTACAAAACATAGTTTGAAATGCCAAGGTTTACATTACTTTTTTACTACTTATTTCGTAAAAACTCTCCACGACCATACTTGATTACTTCCCCTTAAACAGTCTCAGCGATCACGCACTAACTCAGCGTTCTTCACTCCAGAAGTAAGAAATTTAACATTCAGATGAAAACAAGGATTTTTTTTCGAAAATAATGAACACTGCAAAATTTATCTTGCAATAAAATATACGTGATGGCATTCTGCTATGCAGAAAGTACCCGGAATATGTATCAACATGGCGGTTTTCTCTCGTCCACTAAGAACGACACCCAAAACCCTATCCATGAATACGAAAGGACGCAATTGAAAATAAGCAGAGAGAACATAAACATGTCTCAATATATATATATATATATATATATATATATATATATATATTCGACTATCCCGTCGAATTCGACGTATGAGTGTCAAGCAGATCAGTTCCTAGGAAACGACAGCCCGAAACCAGCACATAAGATTTGATTATAGTGGTGAAGGCTTTGTGCAGAACCATCCACACTCTTTGAAGGGTCGAATACAGAGACCTGGTGCACTACATGCAACAAGGTCCCCAAAGAACCCTCCGCCGGTTTTGAATACAGAGTTGTCCTTCTGCTAGACCAGTTGCCCTCCAAGGCTATAGAAGCCAGTCTTTCTTGTTTTTTACCCATAGCTGAAGGGAGAAGAATTGGATTAATTCCTTTTAAATGGTATTACTACTAAGTGGAATTCGATCTCGGATCTCGATTCCTCAATCTAAGCCGCTATCCATTAATCCACTGTGCTTCCTCCTCTACACCTACACATACACACACACTCACACACACACGCACGCACACACACACACACGCGCGCGCGCGCACACACACACACATATATATATATACACATATATATATATATATATATATGCGATGCCTTGTATTCATATATATATATATATATATATATATATATATGGCTATAAATGAATGCATATATATATATATATATATATATATATGAAAAATATAGTTTTAAGTTGTGCTACATTTATGGGAAAAAGTGCTCAATATCAGAGAGAGAGCGTATGTAAAAACTGACGATTGCGTCCAGCATGAAACAGCCTGTCGACTCTGAATGTTGACTTCAATGTTCCCTTATCTCCGATGTCTTGTATTCATTTTATATATATATATATATATATATATATATGAATACAATGTATCGAAAATTGTTTGTTGGTGTTAATAAAATAGTGCTCTATAACAGAGCTATTAAGCATATATTAATAAATATACATTTTTACTCTCCGGTAGCACGACTAAAATTTCCATACATAATGCAATCTACAGTAACGGTCAGTCTCAGCATTGTTCATGATACTTCCAGTCGTTTTACCGGTGATGAAAAAAAGGAATATATTTATTAAATCTATTTTATATATTACTTCGGGTCCACCCTTTTTACATTTTGGACTCGCCTAGTGTCATTAAACTTGTACTGCTGCCGGTGAATACCAGAAGGTCAAACAGTGAGGGAGTGAGAGTGTGAGGTAACCGCTTTGTAGGAGTCACAGTTGCGAGCACGTAGACTCAGAAGGAAGTCATTCTTCGATACTGAATTTCCCAGACTGTATAAATATTATTATTGCTACTAACCGCATTTCTGGATCTACTAACCGTATTACCAATTGTATTATTACGTCAATACATTTATTTGTTATATTTCATTCCTGCGTTTGTCATTCATTTGAGACCGGATTTCATCCCGGAATCCACAACATATATTATACACATATCACAAAATTTTGACATGCGAGAGAAGTTCTGAATCCCTATTCAAAATCAACATATTCGATTTAACTGTATAACAGGCACAAGAATATTTGTTGCCTCTCAGTGTTCTTTATTTGCGATAACAAAATAAATATGCCTAATACTTGTCCATTTACATAGGCACCTTGTGAAGAGCGATGGTTAGCAATTTGCTTTCACAAACAATTCGCAAGAGTTGTGAATTCGATTCTCACTGGGGCCTCATTGATGATGCAATTTGCTAAACTTCTTAAGTAAACATGTTATAATCTTTATGATTTGTTTCTTTAATCTCAGTGTATTTGGTAATTAATGTGAAATAAAATTTAATCACCGTGTTTGTTTAGTTGTGAATTTATAACCCTACAAATGTTGACTTTCATCTCTCCGCTTCTCTTCTGTATCCCCCACCCCCGGTTGTTTTTTTTTTTTTATATTTTTTTATTTTTATTTTTTTTTGCGTTGTTATTTCTCCGATTTATTATCTCTGCAGTTATTTCTTTCTCATTGAATCTCGCTTCGATTTACAGCAAGAGAAGTAATCTTAGCGGAGAAAATGGGCAAAAAAGAAAAAAAGTAATAATGAGTGAATGAAAGAAAATAAAGATAAGTATAGAGGAATAAAATGAGTGTAAGAAAGAAAGAAAGAAAGAAAGAAAGAAAGAAAGAAAGAAAGAAAAGAATGAAAAGAATGAAATGAAGTTATGAAGAAAGAAAATAGGAAAGGGATGTTATGAAGAAAGAAAAAGATATATAGCCAGAAAAGAAGAAAATTTACTTATAAAAAAGAAAGAGAGAAAGAAAAAAAGAAAGAAAGAAAGACAGACAGAAAGAAAGAAAGAAAGAAAGAAAAGAATGGAAAGAATGAAATGAAGTTATGAAGAAAGAAAATAAGAAAATGATGTTATGAAGAAAGAAAAAGATATATAGCCAGAAAAGAAGAAAATTTACTTATAAAAAAGAAAGAAATAAAATAAATAAATAAATAAATAAAGAAAGAAAGAAAGAAAGAAAGAAAGAAAAGTAAATATTTTCTAAGAAAACGAAAGACAAAAATGTTCCGTTAGAAATAAATAAAGAAAGAAAGAAAGAAAGAAAGAAAAAAGAAAAAGTAAATACATATTTGAGAAACAACAAAAGACGAAAAAAATTTGGTTACAAAAGAAAAAAAGAAAGAAAGACATTAAGAAAGGAAGTAAGAGATATAGAAAGAAAGGAAGAATGAAAGAAAGAAAAGTGAATATATTTCTAGGAAAAACGAAGGACCAAAACTCTTTGTTTAGAAAGAAAGAAGAAACAATGAAAAGTAGAAAGGAAAGAAAGAAAGAAGAAAGGAAATAAAAAGAAAGAAAGAAAAAGAGAAAAGTAAATACATTCTCAAGAAAGAACGAGAGAAAACGTTTTATTAGAAAGGAGAAAGAGAAGGAAAGAAAGATAGAACGAAATAGATGAAGTGAAGAAAGAAGTTGATGTTAAAAAAAAGAAAGAATGAACAATATTTACTCGTAAAAACAATGAAAGAAAAAGGTACATTGTTATGCAGTTCTTTTCCTTTCTTTTTTCTACTCTTCATTCTTTTTTTCTTTTCCTTTCAGTCCGTGTTTTCCTTTCTTCCTTTCTTATCGCAGTACTTTCCCTTTCATTCTCTCTTTTACCAGTCTCTCTCACTCTCTCTCTCTCTCTCTCTCTCTCTAGGTCAACCATTTTTTATTCATCAATCTAACTGCATCCATGTCATCTTTCCTTTTCTCTTTTTCCTTTCCTTCTCAACATTACTTTCTCTTTCACTATTAGCTCCTAGTTTTTCCCTTCGTCTTCTTTTTTTTTCATATCTCTACTCCCCTTCTTGTCTTTCACTCTCACTCCTCGTTTGCAAACGGGTCATCGGTATCAACTCCCGAATGTCTATTCAGTCAATGACGGGGTTGGGCGTTGGATTGAGTGATTCTCTCAATCTTGGTAATTTTCGCGCGAAATCAGGCGGAAGACGAATTGGATGTAACAGTCATTTGCAAACAACACTTGGACAGATGTTTTCTCTTTAATGCTTTTCAGAGTGAAAAAGTCTTGAGAATAATCAACGATGGCGGCCACGGAAAAAAGGCTTCGTTGCATGGCGTACTGAAGAACAAGTCGAAGGAAATGAGTGTCTGGGTGGGTGCGGCTGGTGGGGGGGGTGTTGGATGTAGCTGAGGGGAGTACCGGGTGGGGAGATGGAGAGACAGCAGATGGATTTTGCGCACGGAGAAAGAAGAAAACGGGCAAGATAAAAGAGTAAGGGAAATTTCGAAGAAGAAGAAGAAGAAGAAGAAGAAGAAGAAGAAGAAGAAGAAGAAAAAAAAGAAGAAGAAGAAGAAGAAGAAGAAGAAGAAGAAGAAGAAGAAATAAGGGGGAATGGAAAAGATAGAAAATCAAAGAATACCAAGAAGAATATAACCATTTGGACGAGGAGTGAAGAAAAAGAAAACCGATGAAAACAGACGAGATTATAAAGGAATAAGGTATCGAAGTAGTAGTAGTAGTAGTAGAAAAAGAAGGAGGAGAAGAAAAAGAAGAAGAAAGAGAAGTCACTTGATGTGGAAAAAAGAAGAAGAAAACCAGGTAAAATAAACAAAGAAGAAGAAGAAGATGAAGAAGAAGAAGAAGAAAGAGAAGAAATCATTTAATGTGGATAAAAAGGAGAAGAAAAACAGGTAAAATAAACAAAGAAGAAGAAGATGAAGAAGAAGAAGAAGAAAGAGAAGAAATCATTTAATGTGGATAAAAGAGAAGAAAAACATTTAAAATAAACAAAAGAAGAAGAAGAAAAGAAGAGGATAAAAGGAAACAAGAAATAAAAAGAAGAAGAAGAAGATGAAGAAGAAGAAGAAGAACAAGAACAAGAACAAGAAGAAAGAGAAGAAGTCACCTGATGTAGATAAAAAGGAGAAGAAAACCAGGTAAAATAAACAAAGAAGAAGAAGAAGAAGAAGAAGAAGAAATATTTGGGAAAAAAGAAGTAAATAAAGTAATGAGAAGGATAGCCGTCATTATGAGTTGGTTTGTAGAAGAGAAAGAAAGTCTTTTTTTCTTCTTTTTTTTCTGGCGATCTAGAAGAATAGAGACAGAATAGAAGAATGAGATAATTTACGAAAAAAAAAAAAAAAAGGAAAAGATTTTGAGAGAAAAAAAAAGAGGAAACGAGAACGAAGAAGAGAATAACATAGTTGACGGTTTAGAAGAAGAAGAAGAAAAGTAAGAATGCCTGAAAAGAATGCAAAGTAAAGAAAGAAAGAAAGAAAGAAAGAAAGAAAGAAAGAAAGAAAGAAAGAAAAAGAAAACTTAGATTGCAAAACAAAGCGGTATTAAAAAAAAAGTGACAAGGGAGGTAATTCATTTGATGAATTATTATGAGGCAGAGAACCAGAATACAGAGTTAAATAAGCGAAAAGAAAAAACAACAATTATCCTTTGGATTTTCCTTTTTGGTTCAAAGGCATCGGAGAGAAATTTGATCAACCATCGCTTGTTTGGACAGATCAATAGGTTTGTCTCATGACAATGAGAAAATATCTCCAGATGATCATACAAACGACTCATTGGCGCTGGTGGAGATAGAAACGGGAGAGAAGAAGCAAAACAGTTTGCATCAATATTTCTGATATTTTCGCCGGGTCATTTCATATATTTAGAGATTCTGAACGCCTTCTGCTCCTGTACATTAATACTTACACTTTGTTGCTGGAGAACCAGCACTCCCCGTTGCGGGGAGAAAAAAAAACAGCTGATACTCAATACTTAACCCCAATGGTATTCCGTAAATTAAAACGGAGGACCGGTCGAGTAATAAGCTCTGATCTCTTTCTACGACTGACTTGTTTTCGGCATTATCACAACTGTTTACACCAGTGTGTTGGCTCTGGGGATTGCTGAATCTATTACGTTTACACCTGTTTCGTTTTATTTTCTTTCCGTTTATAAGAAGAGTCTGTTGGCATGCAATACAAGACTCGTTTGCTTCGCGGTTGCATTGTGCACTTCCTACCGGGCCGGGAGGTCGGTGTTCAAACCCAAATAATATAGTTTTGAATATTAAAAACCAGCAGGTAGGTACATATTCATTCAGAAGCTCGGCGCAACATAATCTATTTTTTCTTCCTATGAAACTACAGGAACTCCTATGGAAGGTAGGACAGGAAAGCAAGAAGAAAGGACTAATTGTAAGAAGAGTGATTGTAGGATTTTGAGCAAAGGGACAGCCCAAGACGCGAACTCTGTACTGGAGACAGCAAAATAAATCAAGTACGGGAATTTTAATATGTAGAAAGTCTTTTTAACAGACGACATAAAACGGGGCACTGATATACGATGGCGTTTGGGAATAGAGAATGTTGTCTTCCAAAAGCTAAAAAAATTATTTAAAAAAAACCCCAAAAAACAAAGAAGAGTGTATGCTGGACAATCTCCTTAGAGATGAAGAAGAGACTTCAGGCAACAGTGATCTGGTTCTACAGAAGGATGCTAAGAATACCATTGACTAAACATATGAGTAACGAGTAAGTTATAAGAAGAATGTAAACAAAAAAGACACTGATACAAAAAATCAGAAATCTTTAAATGAGAAAGGATGGCTTGGAAAATTTGACACTCACAAGAATGCAATTAGGACAAGGAAAAGCAGCGAATAAACTACCTAACGGGCTTGTTTAAATGGTTAGCCCAACAGGAATAGAGAGATGATATTCATTACAAACATCGACATATGAAATAACCCACGTCCTAAAGAAAAATATGCCAAAGAGATTATTTGACCTCAAAGAGAATATATAACCGCACGTCGAGCTGAATAAGGCATTAGAATAGTTTTACGGTGGGAGTTCATCGCGTACATGAAACAAGAAACAAAAATTGCTCATCTTCTGGATTTCCCTAATGGAATTCCTCAGTCGCCAGATATTAAACCTACTCCAAGATTGGAGACGATCAGGAGACTGAGTTAACCAAGAAAGATCGAAAGATATTTCAAAGAGTTTTAAGAAGGTACTGATTTTGTAATTAATATAATAAAATATTCGGATATGGAAGCTTTGGAAGAATGCTCGTCATAATCAAATCCTTTCGATCAGGAAGAACATTGAAAGTCGTTTTGAAGCTTGTGAGTCAATGCAGACAGACACATTACACGTTTTGCTTTACAAGTATAGGATTAGTGGAAACGGAATAAATTCCATTGACCAACAAATACTTAAAAGAGTGCTCCATACAGAGTAGAGCATATATAATTATTTATTCGAAAATGCTATAAAATCACTACACAAATAGCCATTTTGTTTCAACACTTCTGGTGTTTTATCAATTGATGGTGTCGAATGTAGGATTTTAAAAGGGCTTTATATTTTTCGAATAAATCATCATCATCATATATATATATATATATATATATATATATATATATATATATAAGTGGGCATTGAAGTTAGTATCCAGCGGCGACAATCTTTTTCATAATTAAACGCAATTTTCCTACAATGTGTGTTGAGTTCGGGCATGATTATTTATATATAGTGGTGAGTGATGCATTATGGGTAGGTTTATTGGATTATAAGTGTTATTGGGTGGGCGTAAACGGTTATGTTTCGAATTATTCGAGAGGCTATTGATCATGACTCTTGACCTCAATGTCTACTTTTATATTTACATACGCTGCATACCTGATATTGAACAATTTAGCCCATAAATGTAGCATACCTTAATAATATATATATATATATAGAGAGAGAGAGAGAGAGAGAGAGAGAGAGAGAGAGAGAGAGAGAGAGAGAGAATGTTCTGAAGAACATATATGTACACACACAAACATATATATATATATATATATATATATATATATATATATATATATATATATATTGTGGGATTTTTGTGAGTTTGTGACCCTGGGTTTCACACTACTTTCGATCGTCAGACAAACTGATTAATTCTTAATATATATATATATATATATATATATATATACAATAAAACCCCAAAACACCACATATTGTGTATTAGTCCCCCATATGAAGTGATTTGGGAATTTATTTTTTAGTCTCCCCGACCTGTAAACCGCATTTCGGGCTCATCTTTTTAGCGATAGTCATACATTCTGTCTTAGAGGACTTAAGCCTAATATCAACGTGCGTCCCTTAAGATCACAATTTCAAGAGAGAAAAAAAATAAAAACGGAATTTAATACATGAATGGGCAAAAAGTATATAACGACGATACGCGTTTTGACGGATGACGGTAAGTGCGACACTGAGATCCGTAGAAGTATTGCGATGGACTGGGACACATCCCAAAAACTGGATAGAGTATTGCAAGACAGGAGGATTTCTTTGGTATCAAAGAATACTTAGACATTTGTCCTTCTTTACGCCAGCGAATTTCGGACGATTTCCGCAAGGTTAAAGAAGAGACTCGAGGCGACAGAGATGTGGTTCTACAGAATGATGCTAAGCATATCATGGACCGAGCGTGTGAGCAATGATGAGGTCTTAGAGAGGTTACAAACAAGGGGGAGGCTTATACTGAGACAGCTAAAGTTTCTGGGATATATAATTAGGAAGAAGGGCCTGTTGAATATGATACTCACGGGTCGAATAGAGGGAAAGAGAGACAAGGGAAAACAACGCGTGACATACCGGGCGAGCTCAAGCAAGTGGATGACAGAACTCTCTCTCTCTCTCTCTCTCTCTCTCTCTATCTATCTATCTATCTATCTGGAAGCACCTGACGAGTGTACTGAACGATTACAAAAAGTTTCCTCTATCAAACTCGGGAGTTGAGGGGCTGAATTTTTTTCCCTTCAGACAAAGTATGAAAGCACGTGCAATACACTGCCCTCATCAGCCACCAACCAGAGGCTGTAACACAGTTTCGGTGGCAAAAGCAGTACTGCCACCCCTGGCGCCACTATAGACTTTTGCCCCCGCAGAGGGCATTGTTTTTCTGTGTAGATGTGTCAGTCTCAGCGATTTTTATGTCACTACAAGTCACATTTTTCTAATGTTCTGTTCAATAAAACCGTTTGCTTTTGATCGTTAAACAAAACACAACGCGCTCGTGGTGACCGTTATCAATGAGGTATAGTAGCAAGTATAACATCAATTTTAATTTGTTTTAATCCTATTAATGCTCTTTCTCTGATATCGAGCCTTTTATTACAACGATTGCTTGCCTTAAATATCCTTTTTCTTAGATTTCCACAATTAACACAATTTCTGGTTTTACACTTCCTTTGTTATCGCTAATATATATATATATATATATATATATATATATATATATATATATTAGGCAGCATATGATTTACATACAAAGAATAATCACATAAATTAATCAGAAGTATCAATGCGATTATTGACGACATCCATCGTTAGAAAACATAATATATGCATTAAAATCCTGTTCATCCATAGTGCGAGTTTTGATCCTTGAAAGAAAAACTTGTTGTCTGTACTTTTTCAGTTTATTTGATGTTAAAATAATAAGTACTTACGGACAGTCTTCCATCCATCATCATACATACAGGTATATCGTCTCAATTTTTTTGATTTTATAGGAAAAAACACACACAGCATTTTAAACATCAAATATGATGGATGGATCAAATTAATTACGGATTAACAGGATTTATATATATATATATATATATATATATATATATATATATATATGATGTGTGTGTGTGTGTTATTGATTTCCAATAGTATGTAAAACAGTCTATTTTACTATTTAACCTGTAACATGGAAGGTATAGAAGGAATTAGCGGCGTCATAGTGACATATGTTCGAATGGGAACGCAAAATATTAATCCGGAATTTGTATTCGGCTTGTCGATTCCCCTTCCTCAGCCGTTATCAGTTTCACGACTCATCCGTCACTCATTCACGTGCCTAAGCACGATCAGTGATTGCAATGGAGCGTGATGTAGATCAAGGTCTTCAAATTATTACCATATAAATATTGTATGCTACCGGTAACAGTGGCAATCCCATAGCTAACCCTTCCTGCCGAAGATAAATATCAAGCTCAAATTGAAAACATGCAGGATTTATACAAACCAGTAATATCTTCATTGGATTGCCAATGGAGACCTATTATTAATAATAATAATAATAATAATAAACTATCAAAAGATTTTTATGCAGTCTGGTTAAATACAACGAGAAAAAATGTGTCTTTGTTTTCCAATTTTCAACGTTGCTGCATCACAAAGGATGAATATTGATTTTGTGCAAGTGCTGTGAAAAACAAAATTGTTTTTATGCAAAAAACATCAGAAGAAAAAAAAATTACTGTAATTAACGAGACCAAAAGCTACATTATTTTGTGGGTAAAATGATGACGAGGTCTTTGTATCCAAAACAACAGGTGTTGGCCTCATTTTCCTGTGCAGCTTACCATCATTGCTTACCATCTCAAGAGACACGCCGATAGTCAGGTAATCGATCTGGGATTAGCCATCAAATTTAACAATGCTTCTTGAGTGCCTTTTCTAATGTTTTAGCCTAGATGGAGAAAAGAAAAGAAATAACAGAAAAAGATGTCAAGTGTGACCGATAAAAAAAAAGCAAAATCAAAGATTATAATAGATTGTCGATCATG